TACTATATCAAAGATTAAGCTAATAAAAACCAACTGGCATTGTCGCCAAAGTTCAAAAAAAAAAAAAAAAAAAAAAAGTTTATTTACTAGAAATATAACTAAATAAAATGTAAAAAGTATGAATAAAAAAGAAAGCAAAAGAAATAATAAACTAAATAATAAAAGATCTAAATACAAAAAAATGATAATAAGCCAAGATTATATAAATAAATAATATAGTAATTATATTAAAATTAAGCTATATATTACAATTAATAAAGATGTTAAAAAAAAGTATAAATAAAATATTTTAATTAATAATAAGTTTGGCAAACAAAAAAGTAATCTGCAAAAAAACATTAAAAAACTATATAATAAAATACAAGATCTTAAAAGTTATAGAATATTATAATAAAAGTTAATAATAAAGCAAGTAGATGGCCTATTATCAAGATTAAACAGACAAAATAGTCTTAAATAGTTAACAAAATTAAGAATAATGTGAAACTACCAAAAAGAAATTTAACAAAAAACATATAAAAATTAAAAAAAATGCTAAAAATCAAAGATTATTAAAAGAATAATTTATCTTGTTTGAAATATTAAAAACAAAAAGGCTAAGAATAAATATATAAACAGAAGATGATCTATGAAAAATGTTTTTATAAAGTTTATTTTTATTTTTTTTAATGTTAAGGCAAGTATTTGCAATTTAGAAGTTTATTAATAATCTGTTGATATATAACTATTGTGTACAATAGCTATAAAGATAACTAGTCACTCATACAACTTTAGTTATTATTTATTTTAAATAGTTCATCTAAAGGTTTTATACTAGTTGTTATATCTAGACCCATCTGTAAGTTCTTTATTTAAATACTCTAGTTTCTGTATTCATTCCTACTTTATCAATTGCAGATTAACTGCAAAGATATTATAGTTACTAAGTTATATTTAACTTTGTACTAAGTTTACTAGAGTTTTCTGTATTCTATTCTTATAGCTAACCTGGTACTGCTTTGTCTAGACTATTACTTGCAGTCAGAGCTAATTATTAAACTGCTATACCTTTGTAAAACTCACTAGAACCTCAATATCTTTCTTTTCCAACTTCTACTTTTATTTTTAAACCTATAAGACTTTCTAAACTATCAATTTAGATGACCCAGTATGGTATTTTAAGATCTATTTTCTATGATGGTTTTTAGTGACCTGGTTAGTATATGCTTCTCTACACATATTGCCATCTGATTCATTTTAGTTATTCTTTTTTTAAAAGTTTTAATAATCTGGTAGTACTGTCAAAAGTCCATGCTATCTCTTTATTCAGGATTTCTAAATGGGTTTTCATGCTTTAGTTTCTTAGTATTATATACCTAGTAGTCTTATTATGAGTTTGCATTAGAGTCTTATATAACATCAGTTATTAACATTCCTTTATATACATATAACATTACATTTTATATAGATGTTCTAAGCTTCTATTTAAGATAATGTTATTAAGATTACAGATCATCTTTTCTGTCAACTAATTGATAAGATACAGTTACTATAACACAAGTATAATTTTCAAATTTTGTTATTTATAAGATTTAAATACTAGACCTGCTATTTGGGAATTGACAATCTGTTCATTTCACTAGGTTATCACATTCTTTTTATAGAGTTTATATATACTTTAGTATCTACTTTATAATATATTTCTAATACTTTAATATATTTTTATTTTGTTCTCAGATTTCTAATTCAGATAACTTAGAAGGATTATAATCTGTTTCTAATATATTAAGTTTAATCTAATATTTTTTTCTTTTAGTTTAAATTTAACAATCTGATTAGTAGTATTTTTTACTTAGAGGTTCTTGTCTATATATTTAGTTTTTTTATATTAATATTCATTTTATAGATTTAATATTATAGTAATATTATTAAAGATCTGTATTATCTTTTTACTCAAGTTTTCTCTAGTAAGCTTTAGTTTTTTATAGTTTTACAAATTTATATAATTATAAAAACTTACCTTAAGTTTGTATTACCTAGTATTGATTTGCATTCTTCTGTATAACTAAAATTATACAGATTAACTATAACCTGTCAATTATATTAATATAATTATTCTAACTAATTAACAAAATACTGTTACTATAATACAATATATTACACAGATGATTGTTCAAAATTTTTATTATTTGTAGATTTTGAACTTACAACTTGTTACTTAAAAGATTGCTAACTTATTTACTTTACTAAGTTATCACATTCCCAAATACTAGTCATAATACAATGTATTACACAAATTATTGTTCAAATTTTTTATTATTAATGAATTTTGAACTTACAACTTGCTACTTGAGAAGTTGACAGCTTTTTCACTTCAATAAGTTATTACACACCCAAGTACCAATAGTAAAAATATATATGCAATATTTAATTTTAATAAAAAAATAAAAATTTCTAAAAATAATTAATAATTACAACCAATATATAAATTATATAAATATTGTAAACCAATTTTGGCTATATTATAGTATATAGGAAATGATATGAAAAAATTGAATACTGCATTTTTCTGGTTGCTATTATTAATGCATATTATATTACTTAAATTTTAGAATTAACCAAAAGCAAAAGAACTTTCATATTAAACTTATATAAAATTTTATAAATATTATAATTGATATTAAAAAAATTCAACTTAAAAGTAAGTCAAAAAACAAAATAAAATGAACAATAAAACAAAAAAAGAAACCAAACAACAAAAAATAATAAAACATTTCAAACTTTCAAATTAATGGTTTTTATCTGATAACTATTTAATTAAATAAAAAAGAAAACAAAAAATGTATCAGTAATGTGTATAATGAACAAACAAAAAAAAATTTAGATTAAAGATTTTTTATTTGATATGTCACATGTAACATATCACTTATATTTATATTTTTATTTTTGGTTTTAATTTTTTTTTTGATGCAGATTAACCCTTCTTTTTAATCTCGGGTTTTCTTCAATTGTTGTCTACATACAACATATTGCGAGCACCGAAGAACCGATTTTCACCGTGACAATAACGATAAGTATTATTTATTGAAATTTAAAATATCCATTTATCTCATTAAGCAATTAATTAAATTATACCTATCTGTTTCATGTGCTCGTTCGCACGAAATTATATTACCGGCATATCTTTGCTTAATCATCATTTCATTTGACTCCTGTCAACTTGAATACGTATACTCAATTTCAAACTTTATGAAGAATACATGCTATAAAAGTATGTTGTAAACATTTTTAATAGTGACTTGTTATGTAGATTTTTTATAACGGTTTTTTATATTGCAACTTATTATAATAGTTTGTTGTATAACAAATTTGTTATATAATAATGCAATTGTTGTCTAACAGTATAACAGTAATATAATGGTTGTATAACGACTAAAAATAATTGCTTATAATATTATAACATTTTATAATAATGACTATGTAAAGGCAATGTAACGGCTTTATAATAGCTGTATAATGGTTTTGAATATTCGAATTAATTCAAATTCATACTTAATACGAATTCATTCGAATATTCAGTTACAGTCGTACTTCCATATAAGCACCTCCTATATAAGCACATCACCTATATAAACACATTTTATTTTTTGAACCAACTACTATTAAATATATAAAATAATTCTCTATATAAGCACATTATAAGTGTATGTTCTATATAAGATTTTTGTGGGTCCTGATGGTGTGATTATATGAGAGAGCGACTGTATTCGAATATTCGATTCCAACCTCTATTAATACCAAAAGAATCGCCAGTAGATTACCAGAGAAAATACCGATACTATGAATGCTATAGGTCCGTACTTGCGATAAAGAAGTTGTAGATTAAGGTTATGAGCAGTTTTTTTATATTTCTGGGATTCATAACGAAGTTGATCAGAGAGAGAACTCATTTCTTTTAAAAGATAAATTCATTAAATAATATATATTTTTTGAATACAATTTAATTAGAATTCCAAATAATAATCAATCATTGTTTGAATTAATAGACAACACTTACTTTCTAATCCTTCGCCGCGCCACAAAACGCTTTCCAAATTTTTAGTCATGATATTGGCTACCTCATTCAGTTCGGTATTTAGTCGCTCAATGTTGTGTTGCGTTCGTGTGTTTTGATAAACCTTTTTTGTTTTTTGCATAAAAGTATCTGATTATGATCATACCGCATAAGCATTAGTGGTCAACATTGTCAGGATTTCCAAACCAAACACGTAAATCACGTAAATTCTCAATGCTTCAAAAGGCTCGGATAGATAATATGTACCAAATTTAACAAAAGCATATGGTCTTAAAGTTTTTTTTTCGACCTCGTTCCCATAACTCATTAAAAATTCTTTAGAAAGTTCTTCCAGGTAGCTAAAGGCAAATTGACGAGGGTATGAACGATCGCAAATTGTCATGTAACAAACGCCATTTTGGATAAGGTAGCTACAATTGAACATACAAATTTAGTACAAGAAATATCAGAAATCCATGAATTTTCAATAGGTATAAAAAACCGGTTGCGTACTGAAAATAATAACTTCCTGATTCAATTGAACATCGCTCTTCAGAATTTTCATTCATTTTTTTGAAAAGAAGTTTTGCTTTGTTTTTATAATCTGCAAGCTCAGCCTCTCCATTCTAGATGTATATTATGTGCAGTTAGTGCTAAATATTGTTACTTTTCATTTGAAAAAAAAAGGTCGCGCTAGACGAAGTATATGTTGTTACTTATATAAAACAAAAACAGATCCACCCTTACCTGATCATCGTCTACCGAGGCTGCCAATGGGAGGCCTAATAAAATTTCCCACTTAGTACTATTAGCAGGTGGCGAACAAATTATGAATCAAATTAACCACTTGCCATCAGAAATACGAGCAATGACTGTATGTTTAACCATTTTAAAAGTCAAATATATTATATATTATTATAAAAGTATACTCGAAAAAAACGGTCTTTTTTTTACAACCTCCTCTTACTAGAAAAAAAGAACATTGCGATTGTTACAACGAAATGCTTTAAATAGACAATTGTGGTAGATGTCAAAAAATGATTGGTCAAGTTTAGGCTGATTTGTTTAAAATAAAATCACCAACAGGTCTCGCCGAGAATCGAACTCGGATCGCAGGATTCAAAGTCCTGAGTGATAACCATTACACCACGAGACCGGAACATCGATTTGCTACCAAATCTGAATTTATTGAACATAATTATTATTTTAGGTCAGTATTTTTAGCTGTCTGCAGCACAAAACTTATCATGTGATAAAGGAGTGATTTTTTTTTTTTTTTTTGCATAAGTTAGAATCAAAACCACTTTCCAACCAACCTTCCTTCTTTTTCGAAATTCTCGACTATCGTCATGAAGTGAGTTCAGTTACTTTCCTTCTTAAAAAACTCTTTAAAAATAAATTGTTGTTTATTTTCATGTAACTTACTTTTATTAAAAAAAATGCTAGGATCGAGAGCGATTCCTTTTCGGGTAACAAGATCTACCCGGGCAAAGGCAAACTTTATGTCCGACAAGATAATAGGGTTAGAATTATGTCACTTTCTTCAAATACATATTCAACTGCCTAAAGTAATAGGCTTGATCATATGAATTATATCATAAATCATCGGAAAAGTCTTAAGAAAAAAAAAGAATTAGGTTTAAATTTGTTGCATCCACTCATATGTAGCGATCAAAATTCACTCTAGATTTTCCGATTTGTTGGATCAAAAACCGAATCCCTATTCCTCCAACGATTGAATCCACGCAAGATCAGTTGGACTCAAGTATATCGTCGTATGCACAAGAAAGGTATAACCGAGGAAATTGCCAAAAAACGTACCCGTCGAACGGTAAAGCATCAACGAGCAGTTGTTGGAGCATCATGGGAAGTCATTAAGGCTAAACGTAATCAAAAACCTGAAATGAGAGAGGCCGCACGTGCGCAAGCCCTTCGTGAAGCTAAAGAGAAAAAAAAACAGGAACAATCAAAAAGAAAAGCCGAAAAAGCTAAGGTTATCATCTTTGTAATAAACCTCTTCTTTTTTGATTTAAATATACATGTTTTTTGAAATAATTTTTCTTTTCTAGGTTGCACAAACAGCTTCTCGGGGACAGCCTAAAATCTCGAAACAACAAGCTCGTGGTGCTTCGGCAAAAGTATCTGCCAAAAGTCGTTAAATTTAATTGTAAAGATGGTAAAGGGTTTGGTTTAGATTCTAAAACCAAATTAAAAACACAAGAATCAGGTTTTTACATAATAAGCTCCAAACCTAAGTTAAAGCTGGTTTGGTTCAGAACCAAAATTTAAAATCCGGTTCTCAATATATTGCAAGGCATAAACAATAAAAAATATATTAGTAAAAGCTACTTAATTCATGTCAAACTTTTTTTTTATTTTTGATCTTTCAAATAACTTTACTTAATATGCTAATATTTGATTTATTTAATAAATTTTGACTTTTATAAGGTAAAAAAGATGTAGTATGATGGGTTGGGTAAAGTGACAGATCGCATAATATCGAAGTTAGCAAGAGATTTATCAAATAGAGCCTAATATAGAAAATGAATAAGCCTAAATACAAGCAAGGTTGAGACCAAAATTTTTATAAATTTTAAAAAATTTTAGATTAAAAAAATAAAATCAAATAGTACTGTAGGTTCGGCCAAGCTGACTAAGCTGATAAAATTTATCGGTTTGGTCATAGCCAAAAAATTATAGTAAGTTAAAAGTTTGACAAACAAAATCTTAACATATTATAATTTTAACAAAAAATTTTGATAGTTAAAAATTCTAATAGTCAGAATTTTTAAATCAAAAATTCTAAATATAGAATATGTTTAAAGCAAAATAGATTTTTAAAAGTTATTAACTTTAAGGTTAGTTATTTAGATAAAGGTTACGATAAAGTTTGCTATAGTTTATAATATTTTTATTAATGTTTTTAATTGTCAAAATTTTTAATTATTGGGATTTTTAATTTGTTAGAGTTCTGTTAGAATTTTTTTATTAGAATTGAATCTGTTAGAATTTTGCCTATTAGAATGATTTAAACTTATTATTAATTATTTATTTATTAGTTAATAATTAATAATAATTAAAATACTTATTTTTTTTTTTTTTTTTTTTTTTTTTTTTAAACTTTAGCAGTCATGCTAGTACTTTATTAGGATTCTTGAAACTATACAGATTATATAGAATTTTCCTAATATATAAGTCTAGCATTACCTGGTCACCCAAATGGTACCTAAGTATGATCTGTTGCATTATCCTAGTTAGAGATAGACTGCTCATCTGACTGCTGCCCTACAATAGAACATTGCCAATCTGATGACATCTTTTTGTAGGAAAGCAAAAAACAAAAAAAAAAGAATTTTTTATGTAAAGAACAAAACAGAGGTATAGGGGTAAACAATAAAAGATACAAATTAAGAAATAAAAAGGAAAAGGAAATAAACGCGAAAAAAGGAAATATATGAAACTTGCAATTTACAAATATCAGATGGTCACAATTGTATGCCTATGTTGGGCCTTTAAAAATTATAAACTATACTAAATAGAAATAATTCTACTATTTTTCTATTTACTTGGATTATTTAACAAAAAAAAAAAAAAACTATATAGAAAAGAAAAAATCTTCAACTTGATTGTAGAGAATCAGTATAGAGCACTAGTTAGTCCAGAGACAGTATTTTTAGGTTTTTTAGTATTTTGAGGCACATGTATAGTCATGTTTGTATTACTGTCTTGTTTTGATCTATATCATCAACAAATCTGTTTAGGAAATAAAACTGCTGACTGTTTTGGTAGTTTTACATATCGATCTTTAGGAGGGGTAAGCTAAATTGTCCACTTTTACAAAATTTCTTCGAAGCAAAGTAAAGGCGAGAAGTGAACCAACTTTGTAGCTTTTGTGAGTTCTTGACCTTTATAGATGTTTCTTGTAGGTTTTACAGTTGTATAGAACTAATATATTCAACTTTGTTGTTTACTTTATAAAAAAATTTTGGCTTTTACCAACTACTTTTTCTAAAGTTCCAAAGTGTGTTTAAACTGTCACCACAAAGCTGCAACTTCTTTTTCAACTCTATTTCAATGTTCAACTATATGTGTACAGTACTTTGGAAAAGTTTTTATAAAGTTTAATATATTAACTATATCATTTTTCTGTAGTTTAGCTTTTTGAAAAGTTTGATTCAAATGATTATTGGAAAGAGTTGTTCTCTTATGCACTTACATTAAAATACTTATTGATACTTATTAATAATTATTAAATATTAATAAAAATCTATTTAAATCAATAAAATTAATAGATATAATAATTATTAATTTTTATTTATATGAAAATGTAGTGATCTAGTAAAGTAAACAGGTTATTAACTTCTAAATAGCAGGTCTAGTATTCAAATCCTATAGATAACAATATTTAGAAATTATATATATGTTATAGTAACTGTGTCTTGTTAATCAATTGAATTGAAAAGATGATTTATAATCTTAAAAACACTATCTTGAATAGAAGTTTAGAACATTTATATAAAGTATAACATTACATATATATAGAGAAATATCAAATAACTAATGTTATATAAAACTTTAGTACAAACTTATAATAAAACTATTAGATGCATAATATTAAGAAAATAAGATATAGAAACCTATTTAGAAATTCTAAATAAGAAAATAATATAAATTTTTAACAATATTATTAGATTAATAGAAGTTTCAAAAAAAATAACTAGAATAAATTAAATAACAAATATGTATTGAGAAGTATATACCAACTAGATTACTAAAAATTATCAAAAGAAAAAAATCTTAAAATACTATATTAGATTATCTGAATTAGTAATTTAAAAAATCTTATAAATTTAGAATAAGAAAAGATATTAAAAAAGTAGATACTAAAATCTTAATGAACTTTATAAAATATAACAATTTAATAATTAAATCTAACTGCAAGTACTAGTTTAGGCCAAAATAATACTAAATTAGTTATAAATATAAAATACAGAAGGTTCTAGTAGATTTAGTACAAAGTGAAATATAATTTAGTAACTATAAAATTTTTTATCAAGATTTTTAAAAATTCCGAACTCTTTTTGCTGATTATTAAAAATTAAAAAAATCAAAAAAAAGTAAAAAGTAAAAAGTAAAAAAATAACTATTCTAAAAGAAGAATTTAAAGTAGCTAACAAAAACAAAAGACTAATAAATACTAAAACATCTAACATAACAAAAACAAATATCTACTACAGAAAAATAAAGAAAACAACAAATCAGTTCTTTAAAAACCTAGTTTCATTATAGCAACTAAATAAACAATAAATAGATAATTATATTTCAATATATTGTTACAGAGTTGTAGTTTTCTTGGTACAATACAACCAAGTAACAAGGTCACTCAATATAGTGATTGACTATTGCAAATATATATGGGGTGAAGGTTTAGTAGTTTATTTTACTATATAGCAGCAGGCAAACAGTTCAAAATAGTAATAGTATATAGATTAACTTTTATTAATAACACACATGGTAACAACTTTGCCTATAAAAATTACTCTAGAAGAGGAATATTACACTTTATAATTAAAAGGTCATTATGTCTGAATTGAAGTATAGAAACTTAGAATTGGCAGAGAAGAGAAAAAGGTACCCTTTATATATTTTTTTACCTAGTAAAAGTAGTGGAAGTTTGAGTGACATCTTTTGATACTATACTTGAAGTAGTAAAAGATTGTGCAGAGGCAAGTGAAGTTTGTATAAGAATAGTTAGGACAATGTTTATATGTATTTGTTATTTGTACTTGAAACACTTGGAGCTTGTATCAAGGTATTTGAGTTTGTATAAGAACAGTTGGAATTGTGCAAGGACACTTGAAGATTATGTTAGAGATACTTGAAATTGTACAGAAATACTTAGAGATTGTGTTGAGGATACTTGAGATTCTTGTACTGTAGTATTTGGCATGATAAATTGTACTAGAATACATGAAACTTATGTAAAGATACTTGGGATTTGTAAGACAATAATAACATCATAGATGTTATTCAATGTCATGTGTCTGTATTATACTTCTAATAGCCAATTAAGATTCTATTTTCTAACTATTAAATATTATAATATAATTATGCTAATAACTAATAATAAATATAATATAAAATACAATAATAAATATATAATAACTGTTAATAATATAATATACTATACTATGCTAAAAATCTACTTTGTAACAATATGTTTCTAACTTTAACTTAAATATATATACTATGAAAAAACAAAATAGTAAAACAGGTCTTGAACAAACTACAAACACCTAACAAAAGAAACATTATTATAATCCTCTTAAGACTTTTACATAACACTAAAATATATAAAAAAGTAACCAATCTAGCATATTTTTATCAAACAACAACACAATATAATATTAAACTTTAATGCAACAACAATTAATATAAATAATAATAACAACACAAACACAACAGTAATAGGCAATTACAATATAACAAATATTCTGAAAAGAAATCACTATATAATATAATGCAAACAACTAATATAGATATGCAATAAAAAACTTAAAATGAGAGCTTAGAAAATACAATAATAAATTGAATACAAGTTACAACATCAATTAACCTAAATTAATAAATAATACAAACATAACAACAAATTAAGTAATATACAACTAACAACAACTTAATTATAATTAAGTACTAAAACAATATACAAATATAGATGAGATAACAACTGATAAACAAAAGACTTATAAAGTTATATAAAGCTGATCAAAACACATAATACAAGAATTAAACAATAATATTAAAGACCAATTTAATTATAACTCATAATCAATTGACAAATTTATTATAGCACCAAATAATATTAAAGAAATTAAAGATTTTATTTTATATAAACTAAATATGTAACCTACAAATCATTAGATTTCTATAGCAATTCTTTTAAAATTTAAATTTTGTAACCTGGCATTCATTCTACCTTTTTTACTAACAATAAACAAATCAAAACAGCTCATTAAATAAAATTCAATAACTTTTCTAAAATGCAATCAACAAATACAAAGCACAACACAAAGTCATCTTAATAAACAAACAAACTAGAGATCAAATCTAGCTTAAACTTCAATAAAAATTAATTATTAAATATTTTACTAATCTAAAC